ATCATCAGCTTCAGTCTCTGCACGAAAGACATCACAGTCTTTGACAAAATTACCTAATACTTCAGAGAATCCATGATGTCCTTTATACGTCAAGATTTCCATTTCCTGCAGCAGCGAAGTACTCCCATAATGAAACTGGTCCACCTCAATGGCACCAGACATACCGCTGATACATGGATCCAAAAGGTTCCAGTTTGGTCTCATCGCTCCATAAAACATTCTCCAAGAACTCCACAGGTCTATCCAAATTATTTTTTAACATATTCAAGTCGGCCTTTTATGTCCTTCATGGTCAAGAGTACAATGCACATCAAATATTTTGGGAAAAAGTGATATTGGATTGGAGTATTGGATTTCATTCAGCAAATAAGATGCAGGGAGGTGTCATTTTTGTGCACAGTGATCATGATTATCAGTTTAACTATTATCATGCAGCCCAAAATTGTAGCGTGAAAAGTCTTTCATGAATTGCTTTCTATTTGTCTTCACAGATTTCAGAACTGGTGAAGTTTCAGGCACTGGCAAAACCCAAAACTGTGCTGTCCATCACAGACCTGAGCCTTCCACTGGGCCGGAGAATGGCAGCTAAAGCCATCGCTGCTCTGTAGAGGACATTCACTCCAACGCGCCTCGAAGAAGACGTGGTTTTGGTAGGTGTGCGACAGAGGAAACTGCTTCAACCTCCCTCCCCAGGAGAGAACAGACGTTTTCCCTCATTATTTACATATGATTCCTGTAACTGCTGGTGGGTTTTAATGTTGCTTTCACGTCTGACGTCTCGAGGACAGCTCAGTGTTAGTTCTGATTTGACATACGTGGGCATACCTGTGAACTGAAACGGTCACTGACTGCTGACTGCTCACATTAATTTGCCTTTTGTTTCCATCAATCATAAGTAAACAGAAAGTAAAATTGTGGTATGTTTGTTTTTTTATGTATATATACGTTGTCAAAGTTCATGTAGTATTGTGTGTTCACTACTTTTTGTGTGTTTTTATAAACAATGCCTGTGATTTTAATTTCCTACGAAATATGAAACCCCATTATTGTATATTTTTACTAAAATGCCAATAAAATGGTAACACTCTTGGAGATGCTTCTCTATGCCATTTCTTGTGTTAAAATTTGTCTTCATAAGGTGTATTTTACGCCTGTCAACAAGCATGAGCAAAAGTGTTTGTTCAGCAGTGATTACACATTAGATTTCCACTGAAGTCAGAGTTATCTTTGGTTTCACACTATGAAATATCTTTACCATTAGATATTATCTACGTACATAGGAAAAACTAATGGGGGTGTATTTTACCATTAGTTGGCCACCTTTTCTCAAACTGTTCTTTATTTGATGAAAGTAAGATTTACAAAATGTGGGTAACACTTTAGTATGGGGACCAATCCTCGCTATTAACTATTTGCTTATTAGCATTTCTATTATTGACATATTGGCTGTTTATTAGTACTTATAAAGCACATATTCTACATTCCTAATCCTACCCAATACCTAAACTTAACAACTACCTTACAAACTATTAATGAGCAGCAAATTAGAAGTTTATTGAGGCAAAAGATGTAGTTGATGGTAAAATGTGTTATTTGTGTTTTTATTTGTGGTAAAATCAGTGTGTGTGTACATATATGCATGGCTTTTAGCAGGACTTTGAATTTGAACTTTCAATTGAACATATGCTTCATGTATGCTAATGCAGGCAGCACACTGTATACTGTATCATATTCGATGCACAAAATTTCAAAGGCCTGTAAATTATCAACATGATCAGAACTTTGCTGAAAACCTGTTGTACCCAATCTGCTAAATACCTTCTATTGCCTGATTGATAGTTTATGCTTTTTTAGCAAGTAAAAGACAGTTTAGTATAATTCCAAAAACATCTATCTTCAGGCAGTTATCTGTCTTCATTGTATTAGCCCCCCCACAATAGAAACTACAGAGCTTTGATCAAAAAGTAAGCATTTAAGTATCACTTTGCTGAGACAAATTATATAGTGACAACTGATATTTATATGCATTTTATGTAAATAGACTGCTATACTGTTATAAAAATCACATTGATTTGCATTACAAGCTGTCACAATTTTTGGCAATACAACAGCTACTGCAGGAAACTGCAGATTTTTGTTTAGTTTGGATAATAAAATTGCATTGTCTTTTCCTGCAGTATAAGCTCCATATTCTCCTATATCATACAATATGAGCCATAGAAGCCTGATGTATGAAATATGACACTTAAAATATATATTTTCAAAAAATATATATTTTATATTCACAATAATATATATTTTATATTCACAACGGCCAAAAACAAACAAAAAAAAAAAACATCCATGTCAAGTATGGGAATGTCAGGACCCAAATCCAGTTGACTCCAACTGACGAGCCAGGCACAACAAAAAATCCCTTAAAATAAAGAATGATTCATGGATTTGAGTTATTTTAAAGTTTGTCAAATAATTGTGGCTCATTAATATTATGACATGGATATTTTCTTTAAAAAAAAAAGCATGAAAGTTTTATTTCAAGTCAATGGTTTAAAGAGGAGAAAAGACTTCCATCTGATTTGCTTATCTTTTACGATCACATAAGGTGACACAATACTGCAGTTCTTGTGATGTTCAGTGTTTTTGACATTTTTATGTAGTTCACATAGTTTTTTTAATATATATAGTTGTAATATAAATATGATTTATTATATATTTAAGAAGGAACAGTGATATGTGATGTGACTGCAGTAGGCATGGTGGGATAATGGACCAAGTGAGTCAACTCGATTTGATGTGAGTCAGCAAATAATTCAACTTGTTAGAAACCAAATAGAGCTTGTAGTACTGGGACATAACAATGTATGATCAAGTGGAAAAGAACACCACTCAGAAAATCAAAGAACTGGATAAAAATAGGACTTGTGTTACATCATATCCTGTACGTCAAGGAATGCCCATAACGTCAGCACAGTGTCTGTCAGGGTATCCTATTTTTTTCTCTTTCTGAGAATTGTAAAATGCATTGTCATTCTATTCATTGGACAGAATTCTACAAGTAAACTTGTTTTTGGGAGTGGGGGGATGCATTAGCTGGGGAGTTTCTATACTAATATTTTTCAATTATTTAATACTTTCCAGATATATTATTATTATTATTATTATTTACATTTGACAAAATGTAATGCCAGTTATTTCATTCATGTTGTCTTTATAACAGGGATGTAAACTACTTGTTTGTATTATTTTGAGAATTTGTAGTTTACTCAAGTACAATTTAAACTGATTGCTTGTCCTTCTATTTGAAAAAAAAAATAGAAAAAAGAAAAAAAAACCCTACTTTTTACTCCTTAAAATTTTATTTAAACTTTAAAAGTACTTGGTACATTTTAAAATTGTATTTTCTTGCATAATATGCAAAATAAATATGGTACACTCTAAAAAATGCTGGGTTAAATACAAGCACTGGGTTGTATTTAACCCAGCATTTTTTAGAGTGTAAACAGAAGCATGTTCAAAATTGTGTTTTCTCTCTTTAACTAAACCTTTGTATGTCAGTCTGATAATATTTTATGCAATTTATTTTTATGCAGTTTCACTTTGTGCAATTCAGTATTATATATACGTTTGTGAAATTGTGGATTGTAAGCAAAGAAAAGCATGTGTTTTAGCATTCTTCTGGTGAGTGGATTTGTAGATTTGTTGTGTGCGTTTGTGGATTAATGTGTTCATGTGTGGAAAATTGGATAATTTTATGTAGCCTATGTACATCCAGCTTTGTCCAAGGCTTCTGTTCAGATATTTGTATAATCCATTCTAGAACCATTCTTCACTCTAAAAAACACTGGGTTGTATTTCACCCAGCATTTTTTAGAAATGATGAAGTAAATTAATTTTTTTTTTTTTTTTTACTATTTTAGTAGTCACTGAAAAAAGTCATTATTATCATTATTACTATTATTAACCCAAACTAAAACAATATTTTTACCACAATTAACACTATAACAGTCTATGTTGTTTAGTATTATAAAAATAAAAAATAAAAAAGGTGGAAGGGTAAGTTAATCTTTTTATGATTATTAGTAAAGATTATGAGAGTTCTGTTTCACACCAGTTCTGTTTCAGTTGATTATGATCATCTGTTTTAGTCACTTCGCTTTCCGGTATTGTTTGTTTGTTTGTGGTTTATGGTGTGTTGCTTTTCCTGCTACAATCTCCTGTGTTTTCTTGTTGAGTTTATTATTAATAACTGTGCAATGGAATTCTACTGCGTTGTGCGCTTGATAAGCAGCAACATGTAACAAATTGAATCTGGACCGAAAAATAATGCATACCCAACATGTCGCAAGGTGTGCATTATTTTTCTATAGTTCATTGGGCCTTTGTCTGTTTGCTAATTAATTGTCAACTGGCTAAAGATGACACAATTAAATCTCAAATACAAAGAGAAAATATGAGCGACAATAGATATTTAACACACATTAGAAATTTTTATTTTGATCAAATAGAAGGCACATCTTCAAATATTCCAAAAAATATCATAACAAATAATGACAAAAATAAATACATGTATTTTTAGTTCAATACATAAATAAATAAATAATACTGAAGCATACATAAACTCATCTGAAATCTCATTTACTTTTTATGGGTACGAAAAATAAAAACAAGAACATAATACCACATGAAATGACTAATAAAAACAGTGTGTAGTTCTCACAGAGATCAGGAGATCAATCCAATGCCCATGTTCTCATTTAGCAACTTATGAGACATGGTCATGTGCTCAGATTGTATGACACAGTAAAGTATTTCACAGTGAATTAAATAATACATTACTTTATGAGACTGTAAAGAATACAGTTATTTAAGGGAGTTCCTAAATGGCTAAATTAATAAATAATAAATAAAATGCCAAGTGAAATATAAAATAAATAACCTAATTAATAAATAAATAAAAATACAAAATCTGAAGAAAAAAACAAATACCATTGTATTGTCACTGTATCATGTTGCATCTGTTTTTGTGTAAAGCCCAAAGTTTACTTTGATTTTAACATGTATGCTAGGGTACAATGCTGTACGTGCATAGCCCATTTTTTTAATCTATGCATTCTCTATAGAGTACAACAGCCAGGTTGATTTTCTCTATAGGGAAGTCGATTTTTCCTAACATCTGTGGAAGAATAGCACAGACACTGGACAAAGATGGAACTTTCAATTTAGCTCTTGTCAACCTGCATGTGTTTCAGTATATTTTGCAGGCTATAAGTATATGTTGAAAGGCCATGCGTTTGTGTCAAAACTCAGGTATACTTTGGGCTTTACGGTCTAGGCTGCTCATAGACCTGCTGCATTTACGCAGAGCTGCACAGTGTTAGGGTTCTCTGCCATGCTGGAGGTCATACTGAGGATACTGCGGAGGATGTCACAGCTGAAGTCCTGAAGCTGTTGCAGGCTGAGGTGGGCTGCCACCTGGGTCATGTATTCACTTGTCAGATGCTTGGCCAGATCATGCTCAGGGGTCTGCGACTGCTCATCTGATGCCTGCTTCGATGGGTCAAATCCTGCCTGGTTCTGCAACTGTGAAAATACATGAATAAATAAATGGAGCGTTCAAACATGCAAAAAAAAAAAATACAGTACAGTCAAAAAAGTTGCACCTTCTCAACACACTCTTATCATGAGTAAGACTTGTATAGGTTTTTTTCTATCACAGTGATGGTAAAGTTTACATTTTTGCCATCTTGTATGAATGATTACAACTTCTCATGAGATAAGGTTGACCTTCTCTATTTATATTACTATGGTTTAAACATTACTTGACTGATATCCAAAGATGCCAGACATAATTTAAATTTAGCAGTACATGAAAGTGAGTTTCTAAATCAAGGCATGACTAAAACAGACTAACATTCATGGAATTCGGGAACTGATGCTACAAAACAGTCATTCAAAACTATTAAATACATTTCCTCTACCCATTCACAAAAGAACAGTCCCCAAGTCAAATACCATACCTCTTCAATTAGGACCAGAAGTTCTTGAATTTCAGCTTGAAGGTCTTTCACTTGGTCTGTCTGAGCCAGCATGTTTGCTTTGCTGATCTCTTCCAAGAGATTCAGATGCAGTTGCAGTCCCTTCGTTATGTTTGCAAGGCAGGTTTCCTGTGACAGTAACAGAGAGATCTCACAGTTTATTTGCCGAACTTACAAATATAACAAAGTTATATTTTTGTCTTTTAATTCCACAAGTAATAATTCTTCTCCAAATATTATACTAGATTTGTGCACTAGTCTTAGCTAAGTATGATCAAATAAAAGTAACAGTCATTCTTGACTAAGCAACCTGAATAAAGCTTACCATGCTGGAGATGTTCTGAAGAACTGGAGCAGAGGGTATATACATATCTTTCTTCAAGAACTCCAACTCCAGCCTAGTCTTGCTGTCGCCCAAAGTCAGACTCTGACAAAAAAAAAAAGCATTTGACTTGTTTAAACACGGCAGGACAAAGTTTCTTGTTCTTGTGTCAGTACTCCTCACATACATTCCAGAGTAATGCCAAGTAAATTTGCATTCAGTGACCCCCAAAAGTATTTGACACGTTGCGGTGGTCAAACACTGTGTACACAGTTAATTTGAACTAAACCAGTGGTTGCTCTGCTAGGACACCTGCGTGAACTTGTCTTGTATCAAAACTTCATACATTCGATAAAATAACTTCACACAAGTTAAAAACCATTTCAAAGTCAATCTATTCTGAGAAAAGTTTTAGAATCATTTGTTTGGTGAGATACCACTTAATTTGATCATTTGTATCTAATGCAATAACATTCCCAAGTGTGACTGAAGTGTCCAAATGACTTGGCCCACTTGTAAATTTATATACGGCGAGAGCTATGAAAGTGTAGTTAAAGAAAACTTTGCAGTTAAGTTTGTTGATCCAGGGTGAAATGGTGATACATTCAAAGATCAACTCAACATCTCTTCAGTTGACAGCCCAGATCTTTGGCCACTTGACTATCATAACCACAAGCCAATGCACATATGTCAAAATACATAAATAAAAAGATTAAACTGCAAGCATTTAACCAAATATTGAAGATTAGAGGGACCGAATGTACAATTTTATGAATCAATCACTGAAAACCCCATACTGATTGACTGCTCTTCTAAATACAGGGGACGGTACATCCCTCAGTGTCCGTGGTGGTTACAGTTCTGAAATATGCTTACCTTGCTGTTTATCCAGTCTGCATGAGTTGTAGGAATGTCTTGTAGAATTTTGTTGATTAAACTGTGGGCCTGTGCAATAGTATCTTTGTTCATAATGTCCAGTTTGCCAGAGATTGGGGCAGATGCTACGATTCCCACAAGTGTGACTAATAGAGCCGCTGGAGGAGAGAAAGAGTGAGAGACAGAAGCGATCAGAAGTGCGTAACACTGTGACGCAGATCTCACACTAATGGCTTAAGCACTCACATGCTTTAGCCATGGCTGGACAACCTGATTTCACATAAATGCACCTGGTTTCAGTTTGTGCTGTAAAAGTTACCAAAGCTTCTTCATACTTTTTTTTTTTTAAATAACCTTATACATTAAACATCTAAACCTAAACCATCTAAAGTAAACAAAAATGGTGTAAATAGTATAGCATAATTTAAAGCATTATTGAAAAAAGCATAATAAACAAGATTCTCCAGAATTATATGATTAAAAACTAAAAACAAAACTTACCCTGGAAGTTCATTATAACAACAGCAATCAAAAAGAAAATGCGCAAAGTCACCAGACTGCAGCAGTAACAAAGTCCCATCATGTTCACGATTTATATATCCTTCAGGGGAAATTCCTCTTTCTGACGTCATCTTGAGTAGATCTTGAGATATTGAGTAATGTAATGAAAGTTATTATACAAAATATTTTGTAGCTAAATGCTGATGAATTTAAGATATTAATTTTAATTTACTAGACACTTCTCAATGCCCTTAACTCTGTCCAAAAATAAGACATAATGAACAATACAAAATCAATACAAAATGTTTTGTTAAAGTGCCATAACACGTTTTTAGATACTGTCAACTAATACTACAGAAATACTAACAATCATAACAACAAATAACAAATGCAATATATAAAATAACAATGCAATACACACACACACACACACACACACACACACACACACACACGCACACACACTCAAAAGGTCTAATTTTTCTAAAATTCACTCAATAACGAATAGACACAAAAAACAGTGTCACAGATCACTACTTTTCTGAGACACAAAATTCAATCAGTTAACCACAAAAATGTTTTGATTGACTAAATCTCACAAATGTTGATATTCAGATGAACTGACAAAATTATGAAGAGAATAGTTCATAGCACACTATAAGAGATTTTGAAAATATTATAATATCATAAAATTATATTATATTAGTTATGTTATGTTATGTTGTATTATTATACAGTATTATATTATTATGATAATACCTTCTTTAACTTTAATACAGCATGGGCATATTCATGTGTACTCATATTCAAAATTGTTGTGACCAAAAAAGCATATTGATGTCAGTATTGTTTATATTATATTATATTATATTATATTATATTATATTATATTATATTATATTATATTATATTATATTATTATGATAATACCTTCTTTAACTTTAATACAACATGGGAATATTCATGTGCACTCATATTCAAAATTTTTGTGACCAAAAAAGCATATTGATGTCAGTATTGTTCTCTTTCATTCCTTTGTGTTTCACAATAGTGTGTATTTTTTGGGACCACTACATTTTAGCTTTCACTCCCAAGCAGAAACAAAGCTATAAATAGAAACAATAATGAGGCAGATACCCTCAAATATATCTGTATTGCTTTGTGGTCTATATAAGTAAGTGATAAATGAATGCACCCCTGAAATTCCATGTTGCAATAACCTCAACCTCTGCTGCCAACAGAAGTTATGTAATAAGCGTTTGACGTAAAGTGGGATTTTCACTAAAGATCTGATAACTGTGAGTGAATTGCTATGTATGAGTAATTATTTCCTAGTGCACAATAAATCATAATATTTAAGTGAAAATTCCATTCCAATTATTAATTTGAATAACGGTCTTCAGCCAAGACTGGATGAACAACTGAACAATGTAATTGTTAATTCATTTTCATTTTACTGTAAGACAGACAGATAGATAGATAGATAGATAGATAGATAGATAGATAGATAGATAGATAGATAGATAGATAGATAGATAGATAGATAGATAGATAGATTGAGAGATAGACAGATAGAGAGAGAGAGAGATTTGATAAGTTGAGTCAAAAAAACACTAATTTTTTCCTACTCTGTCATCATCACACCAAAACCATTGGTAGAAACATGTGGTGTTACGTATTGTTGTGTAAGGCAGAGTTTCCTTCAAAGGAAGAAGAGGGGCAGAGATAGTGTCAAACAGATGAGGGGAAAGGGGAAGAAGTGTTTCTATGGAAACAAGCAGTATCAATTGAAAGACCTAACCGAATAACAGTGACCTCACCATCACATCGTGTACATGCACAGGGTGAAGTCTCTGATTTTACCAAAAAAATATTTTCATTGTGAGAGTGGGAGAGAAACAGAAACAGACAGACAGCTCCACAGACAGAAAAAGGGGAAGAATGGTGTTGCTAAATTCAGTGTGTTCTCACAAAACCCTGCATTAGCATGAACTCACTCATTCCTCTAGACAGATGGAACGCATATACTCATTCTTAATTGAAAGTGCTGCTAAAATTGCACATCATGATGGCACTGCAGTCAGAAAATGAATCCTAGATCTTTTCAGATTTTTTTTAACAATTGTTTTTGATTTGATTTCAAAACAACTGCAAAAAATCCAACTCTGAATTTTATCCTAAATTGTGCCATTTCATCTGATTTATAACAAATTCAAGAATAATCTTTGCATAGATCATTCAAAGGACGACTGTTCAAAGAGGGAAAATTTAGAAGTGAATAAATCTAAATAGGATGTAGGCCTAATCATGGCGTCACTGATAGAGACAAAATGGGTCCCTTCCGTTCCATGAGCTTAAAGTATTTGACCATTCACCTCTATGACAACACTCCAAATGCTTTCATTTTTCGGTTGCATGTTTTCATTTCAGTACATTTTTTACTATGTTTATTAGATTCAGTAAACTAAATAAGTTCAATCAGTGAATAAAAGGAAAATAAGACAAACAAAATACAGTATATACAGGTTAAAACTAAATTATTAAAAATATACATTTCATGCAATATACAATATAGTGGAAGGAGACAAACAGCAACAATATGCCATTGTTAATAATATGTCAATTAATTAAGCAGTTTAACATTTTATATGTTTTAAGAAAAAGAAAGTAGGAGCTGGCAAAGAAAAATGCTAAAGCTTTTAATCTGTACATCCTTAAAATTCATAACCAACCTTTCATTCTCTAAGGGTTTATTGTTTGATCAAAAACTTCGTCTGACGAAGATGCATGAATAAAGGACCTCAGGAGTTCTTTGAAGTTTTTAATTGCCTGACTCAAGCTGTGTGGATTTTTTCTGAGCGTTTATGGAACAGAGATCTGTCCCAATAATGAGACACCTGAGCTTGTTTTGTGGGGTCTGTGGCTCTGCTTGGTTTTGATTATGGTCAACACTCCTGTCAGACTCTGTTCCATGTCTCGTGTTGTGTTTTCCTCCCCCAGATGCAGCTGACTGACATCTTGTCCTTGTATGCTGCATTGCGTAAAATAATATAATTTAAAGCACAGACTTTATAAATTAAATAAAATGTATACAAACCTTTATTTCGAAGTACACCAATGTCAGACTCTTTTCCATGTCTCGTGTTGTTTTCCTCCCCCATGTGCTTCAGTTTGATTATTATGCCCATATTAGTTTTTTTCCTGTTCCTGTCCCTATTTAGTTCTATTGGTTCCAGCTGGGTTTAATTAGTTACTGTGTATTTAAAGTGTGTTCTGCCCCTCGTTTCCCGTCCGCTGTTAGGCCTATATGTCATTTTGTTCGAACTTGACTCCAAGTTTCCCGTGTGCTCTGTGTTCCCAGCTTTGCCTTGATTAAAAACTGTTGGAATTTGCATTACTCCTCGTCTCCTCACTCCTTGCTCCTTCGTTCCTGTGCTCCTTGTGTGAACCGTGACAGAACAACGGACCAAAACAGTAAGCGGCGCCCCTTCTCCCGTGTTTTTATTTTCTTTTTGAATAGTCTTTTGTTTTCCCGTTCTTCTCCCCGCGGTATGAGGACCGCCCTGCTGTCAAGCTCGCCGGCCGTGCCGTTGTCAAGTCCGCCGGCCGCGGCTCCCTCAAGCTCTCCGGCCGCCTCGGAGGCTGCTCTGCCATGGCCTCCTGGACTGTCTGATCCGCCATGGCCTCCTGAACTGCCTGATCCGCCATGGCCTCCCGGACTGTTTGCACCGCCATGGCTGCCCAAGTTGCCTGCTCCACCATGGCGCCCCGAACGGGTATTGCTCTGGAGGCCCACCGTCCCGTGTCTGTCCTGAGGGACCTCCAGAGCACCCACCCCCTCTCCCCGTTGGATGTTGTGTGGAGCGAGAACGCACCTTCCAGGAGGGGGAGTAATGTCAGACTGTTCCATGTCTCCTGTTGTGTTTTCCTCCCCCACGTGCTCCAGTATTATTATTATTATGCCCATATTTGGTTTTTACTGTTCCTGTCCATATTTAGTTCTATTGGTTTCAGCTGGGTTTAATTAGTTACTGTGTATTTAAAGTGTGTTCTCCCCCTCGTTTCCCGTCCGCTGTTATGTCATTTTGTTCGAACGTGACTCCATGTTTCCCGTGTGCTCTGTGTTCCCAGCTTTGCCTTGATTAAAAACTGTTGGAATTTGCATTACTCCTCATCTCCTCACTCCTTTGTTCCTGTGCTCCTTGTGTGAACCGTGACAGCTCCTAAAGAAAAAAAGTTTTTTGCAGCACCTTAAGTTAAATAAAGAACCACAAGAACTACACAAAATAATAAAGTGCCAAATTATTAAAATGACATAGATTTGGTGAAAATATAAAAGCAGAATTATTAGCTTGCTACAAATAAACATTTAATCTGTCTACATTAAACAAAAAACACTTGGAAAACACTGGAAAAATTATGAACGGGGAAAACAATGTTAAATGTAAACAACTTGCAATGTAATCAACTGTCATTAAGAAGTCTAGGCACGCTAAAGGGTAGCTCTCTTCAGGTATAAACCACCTTGGTCAGTGTCCTGAACCCACAATATAAGCTCTTGTCCATCATGTTCCTGTTCTTAATCACACAAGAATATAGAACCCATTGTTCAGCAGACATGTTTGGAAATGTGTGCTTCCACAATATTCAATACCACAACTAGGTAATATAGGGAATATTTATTTATTAAAGTGTTTTACCACCATATGCCTTTAATGCAGGTTACAACCTTCTTAGAATAGATTTATACGACTTTTGAATAGTGTCCAGTGGAATGTTGTCTATCAGAATATCTGTCATGTGTTTCGGTGATACTGAAGCACGGAATCCGCTTCTCACTCTCTTTAAAACTTGGATTCAGTGAGGTGATTGGCCAGGGCAGATGTTGATGTTCATCTTGGTGCACCAACTGTCCAGGTTTTATGACCATGAGACTAGTAATCGCAGCTTGTTCATGAATGTTGGTTTTGTGAAGTTCTCTGTGGCCAGTTTTTGTTGTTTGTTGTTTGGACACAATCCTTCTTAAAATACCAAAAATTGTGATGTTAAGGTTACAGATGCTGCTGCTGACAAGTCTAACAA